CCCTCCAATGCCGGGTTTCCTTATCTGAGAATGAGGATGGGCTATGTCCACAACCCCTTTCCCCAAACCCTTAGATCCAAAGAGTTCTGACAAGTCAAATTTGTTTTCTGAAGGAGGCACCGAGATTCATTGGGCACAAGGCCCAAGCTGGACAGAGGTTGGCCAGCATCTCCCCTTCTGAAGAAAAGTGGGCCAGGCTGCCACACACCACACCTGTCCTCTGGGGACCTGGGGTGGCAAGAGAAGGACTCGGGGTAGTGGGAAGCCGAAGAGCCCACCGCATAGGCTTACCAACAACCAGACTGGGGGTGGTCTTGACAGTGGCCTCCCTTGGCCAGTCCCTACCGAGGACCTATCGAGCCAGCAGGTTTGGGCTCTAGGGATGAAGGCAGCTTGCAGCTCTAGGATGAGCGGGTGGTAGATGGCACCCTGTGATCCCTTCCTCCAGGCCACCCCAAGCCCCAGAGAGCCACAAGTACCCATGATGGATTTGCCTGGCTTCTTAGTCATTTGTGTAAATCACATTTCAGAAACCCTGACCCTGCTTTGGGGCCTTGGGACCCAGTGGGGGCACTGAGTTGTCCATTGGCCCTGGATTTCTAATCCCAGCTCTCTACCTGCTCTCAGTTTCCACAACTGGAATGAGCAGAGCCTTCCCTGAGGGCCACTGGAGACTGAGAGAGAGCAGACTGAATGCTGCCCGAGAATGTGGCGTAGCGCTGTGTGTGGGCTTCCGAGGCCTCCCTCCTTTCACGGAATCTGGTGGTTAACCCGTGTGTGGTGATGTTGGTAGAGCAGACCCCTTCCAGCCCAGCCCACCCTCACCAACCCTGTTTGTGCTCTTGAAATGCGCCAGAATAGGAGGGGTGGGGGGCAGGGGCAGATGCTTGTTGGCTGAGGGGGCCAATAGGTAAAGAAAGAGAGGAGCCTCCGCCAGGACCTTAACCCCAAACTCACTGCCATTGAGTGGATGCTGACTCGGAGTGATCCCCCTGTGGATTTCTGACACGGTGACACATTCCAGGGGTAGAAATCCCCATCTTTCTCCCAAGGAGCAGCTGATGGGCTAGAACTGCCGACCTTGTGGATCGCAGCCCACCTCAGAACAACTGCGCCACCAGGGCAGTATCAAAAAGCTCGCCAAGCCGGGGCAGGGTGCACTCCGTGGACAGCACTTCCCTCTCAGGCTCTTAGACTGGACTGGCTCCTACCCAGGGTGCTCACGGGGCTCCCGTCCCCTGCACAGGGTGAGTCTGAGGGGTCTGGATAAGTCTGGAGTCTCCCAGCAGCGAGTCAGGAAAGGTCTACTGACCTGCAGTTTAGACTAGCATTCAGGGGGACATGTAGACTAGACACAAACATCACCTGCATAGAGGAGTATGTATATCACACTTAGACTACACAACACAGCACACACCTCACACACGACTCTACACACACCACACATCCCATTAGACATACATCACACACATCTCCCACACATACTCCATCACACACCGTGTGGACACCACACACCTTCACACGTACCACACAAGACACATTCACAGCACTGAACACACATATCACACACATCACACACACACATACACACCGCGTACGATACACATACCACACACAGCACATGGGGTCCGGCTGGGCGGCCTCTGGCCAGGGCCCATGCCTTTGTTTCTCTTCCCTGGGAACCGCGGGACTGGACGAGGAACAAAGTGGAGGGAGACATGTCCAAAGCGCATTAGCCCATGGCAGCAGCGCGGAGCTGGTGCCCCAGGTGGCAGGGTAGCCTGCCCCACGGCGGGGTTGCCTGCCCTAGAGAGGGTGCGGTGCAGGGCGCTGAGGGTGAGACTCCAGAGAAGGGCGAGTTCAGGGGTTGCTGATGCCTTAAGGGCAGAGACCCCGGGGTAGTTCCAGATGTCTGAGAGGCACACTCAGTTTGACCGTGCTGGAGAAGGAGCCACAGGCACACAGGTGTGTGACCACAGTCCCTGAGAGTCTGAATTTGCTGGGAGAGGAGGGAGCTGAGAGCAGGGAGTGCGGGGGGGGTGGTGGTGGTGGTAGTGTTCAGCACCACTCCCTAAATGGGCATGGAAAGGGACGGCCACCTGCCCGGAAGGAGACACTGCCCCCACCCCCTACCCTGAACCATCATCATGAGCAGTGACATGCACAAGTGCACGGCTACAGCCACTGTGCAACCGGAGTGCTGTCCAACCTCGGAGGCCATGTGGGCGACACCGTATCAGACGAGAGTCCATGAAGCAGAGCAGACCCGTTGTGTCCTCCCTGGCTTTTGATGAAGATGGTGCCGAAGGCACAGAAGGAAGCCCTGCCCAAGCTGAAGCCAAGACTTTAAAGGCCACATACACACAAAAAGATCCCCGCGTCACCCACCTGCCCGCGGCCCAAACCCCGAGGCTAAGCAGGCAGCCACAACACCCTCAGAAGAGCCCCCCAGGAGAAACAGGAGGGACCACTCTGCCGTCATCAAGTTGCCTTTGACCACGGAGCCTACCATGAAGGAGATCGAAGGTAACAACACATTGTGTTCATTGTGGATGTCGGGCCAACAAGCACCAGATCAAACAGGCTGTGAAGAAACTCTAGGACATTGACACAGCCATGGTCAACACCTTGATCGGGCCTGGTGGCAAGAAGAAGGCAGGTGTTTGACTAGCTCCTGACGATCACGCTTTAGAAGGTGCCAACTCAAATCGGAATCATCCAAACTAGCGGTTCTCAACCTGTGAGTCTCGACCCCTTTGGGAGTCAAACGACCCTTTCACAGGGGTTGCCCGATTCATAACAGTAGCAAAATGACGGTGATGAAGTAGCAACGAAAATAATTTTATGGTTGCGGGGTCACGCCCACACGAGGAACTGTATGACAGGGTCGCCACATTCGGAAGGTTGAGAACCACTTTTCTAAATACATGTGAGTTTCTCTTTGTTTCCTCCCCCCACCCCCACCCCCATCTGGCTGTGTAACCTGACTTTACAAAGTACAACTTTTGGCGGCATAACAACGTTCACATTAATCCATCGGGAAATGGCAGGTGTGTTGGCCTGGCCCCCGTGAGATCCCCGTCTCCCATAACCAGGGTGGAGAAGGCCTCTCGGTGCTCTCTCCTGCCCGGAGGCCTAGAACTCTCCGAGAGCCCGAATACTGCCAGGGCAGAGACCTGCGGGCACAGAGGCAGAATTTACTAAGCTTCCTCTCAGCCTCACCAGCTGGCTCCTTTCTGTGAGGCCCACTGAGTAGTTGAGGCTTTGTATCATCCGTAGAAGTGAAGATTTTATTTTTCTCTTCCTTTTCATGAACACCTTTCAGAAAATTCAGATTTCTGAAGGGTAGAAGGCGTAAACAGTCTTGTTTGCCTGACGTAACGAGGCTCTCTCTAACAGGATTAAGGGGCACCTACTCACAGGAGCAGGGCGAATCGGCCTCACAAGGTGGGCCCAGGAAGCACGATGCCAGGACGCAGGGCAAGAGGGCTGAGTGGCTCTTCTACGCATGAGCTGCACTCGTTCCTCTCTCCTGCTGTGGCTTCTTTCTCAGAGATGACGCACAGCTGCCCTGAGCTTTGTCCAGCAGCCTCAGGAGAGAGGAGCCCGCTTGGTTCCACCTGGGACATCCACACCTGTCCAGGGAGCCCAGGCCAGCCCTCTCCAGCACCCACTTGGCTTCAGCCAGCAGTTCCTGTGCCCCGAGACGAGTGCTGGACCTTACATCTTGGTCGATGGACATTCGGGGGGTGGCTGTAGCTCCATGAACGAGGGAAGGAGGACTGAGACTCCATCCCCTTTTCGGAAAAGACTACCAAGGCAGAGAAGGGTAACAGCCAAGAGGCCTGCTCGAACGAGGCAAGCTGCATCAGGTCAGGAAGGGCAGGAGAGGGAAGTGCTCTGCCTCCTACATCACAGTCCAGCTGGCCCATGAGCACCCTGCTGCCTTCTAATCTCTGACCCCTCTCTCCAGCTCATTCTGTACCCCGGGGATGGCCACATGTCCCAAGCCACTGCACGCTGGCCCTCTAGACTCAAGTCCATTGAGGAGTGAAGCATTCTCCTTTCCCCTACTGCACACCCGTCCTGGCTTCTGAGATACTCGCTGGCTTGCCGCTGGCCAAGTCTTTGTTTTTCTAGGAGTGTAGAGGGAGCTTCGGTGACACTGGAGGGCTCAAAAGGTTTTTAAGAGTGCAGCATGGCCGTGCCTGCCTCCTGCCTCTAGGTTCCAATAGGTAGGTGGCCTCAGAGGCAGCCCTAAGATCCCAAGCGACCACAAGGCTCCGGAAAGAGGATTCCAACCTGCAGCAGAAACCCCACCCCCACCCCATAGCTGCTGTGTCCATCTGGTCTGATCAAGTCACGTGTACATTTACATGCACAAGACACAGTACTGGCACCATGAAAGTCATGTGTGAATAGCAAACAGACACAGTTCCATGGTGAAGCAGTTGCCGGGGGTAGGGTGGGGGTAGAGGGTGCGGATGGACACTCCTCTAGGAGCACTCCACTTTGCACCACAGGAGAAAGACCCTCTCCAAGGGAACTGGCTCACCTTTCCTTAAAAACAACACTCACTCTCACACCCCTGGGCAGGCACGTCATGGCTCAGGTCATAGAGTTACCTCTGCCTCCCTCGTGACCCGATAGCGGGAGCGAATGGCTGTCCTAAGGGTTTGTAGCCAGCCCCGTCTCCCCTGCTAGGGAAGGCGAAGGGGCTCAGGGTACCCCATCCTTCATGGCCACAGTGGGCATCACCTCTCAGTCTCCCTGTCAGCATCCACTGGCCCGGGCTGTCACTTGGAATGCCCCTGGCTGGGTGAGTGTAGTCTAGAAGACCTCTCAGAATTACATGTTGTCTTCGCATGCTCTTTGGCCTAGAACCCTTGTCCTTTTTAGCAAGGGGGATGCTGTGATACTTACCCCACATGTCCCAGGTGGAGTCTGGCACGGATGAACTCAATTCTTCCCTTTTCCCTATCTCTGGAATAGGGAAGGATAGCTAGCGTTTCCCCACCCCCTGCCCCCATCCAGGGCATCCCTGGACACCCAGCTTCAGGTCACACAAAAGCACACCTCCACACACACTCACTCCCATCCCTGTGCTGGAGTTCTCCATACCTTTCTTTCTCTTTCCCATCTGCCCTTTGGCAAGCGGAAGTCCCATGAGAAAGTCCTGGAGCCCCTTCCCAGCTGGGAAAGCGCGAGTGACAGCTGCAGGTAGCTCCATGCGCCTGCACAATCCAGGAGAGCATTGCAGACGAGAACCCCGCAAGAAGACCAAGCCTAATCACCGTCAAGTCTACCCCGACTCAGAGCTACTCTGTAGGACAGAGTTGAACTGCCCCATGGGGTTTCCAGGGCTGACAGGTGGAGGGAAGCAGATTACGACATCTCGTGCCTGTGCGTGGGTCTGAACTGCCCACCTTTTGATTCCTACCAAAACCATAGCCAGCATGTGGCTTCCAACTCCTGGCGACCATGTGAGTCTAGGGTGTCCAAGCCTGGAAACCTTTACAGGAACAATAGGCCTCCTCTTTTACCTGCAGAGTGGCTGATGGGTTCAAACCACTACCTTTCTGTTAGCAGCCCAACCACCCCTATTCCACAGCACCAGCAGGGACCCTTTGGGAAAGAATGGATAAGAACGCCTGCATTTTCAAAACATTTTACAGTGCATGGATGGATGGGTTGTGATAAGAGCTGTAAGATCCCCCAATAACATGATTTAAAAAACAACAATGACTGTGGGACGGGCTCATACAGCTCCATGCCCAGAGGGCACGTTCAGTGCTGCCCTCCTGGAAGGTGGTGTCCTGATTTCCTGGTGGAGAAGCTGAGGGCAACATTAGGATCCTAGCCAAGGAACAGGGGCAGATCAAGGTTTGAACCAAGGTCGCATCTTACCCAGACATTTGCCTTCCTGGCCCATGTGACCCTTCTGGCTAGAGCCTGGGAGTAGGTGGGGACACCTCAGGCAGGTCACGTCATGGCTCTTAACTTTAGAGCAGTCGGTGCTAACCCCTTCTCCTCCCCAGCTTGTGAACCGGCACGTGTACTCTGGCAGCGCCGACAGGACGGTCAAGTGCTGGCTGGCAGACACGGGGGAATGTGTGCACGTCTTCAAGGCCCACAGACACAGCGTGAGCGCCCTCAAGTACCATGCCGGCACCTGTAAGTGACGAGCCCCACCACAGCCAGCCCCTGTGCCTCCACTTCCCGGGGCCTCTGCAGACTCCCTGCATGGGCCTGCTTCCCTCTTTCTGCCCAGACTCTCTGATCCCTTCCCCAAGCCCTGGCTGCCACCAGGCCTTCCCCATATGCCCTCCTGTGTTCTCCCTGGGTATGTTGGAAAGGAGTACCAGCTGCGGATGTGGATGTGTGCCACCCGGACCCCACAAGAACATGGGGAGGACCTGAGTGTTCAGAGCTCCGAGGGATGAAAAACCCCTCTTGAGGACAGATTCTAAGGATCGAAGGGAGGCAGTGACACCCAGAGAGTCCAGTCAGCCTTTTGGGCGGCATGAGTCTTGTCTTCCTTGGAATTGGGTTTGACCGAAGGCAAGGGAACACCCAAACGATAGTGCTTTCCATTGCCAGAGTGATTTACTCTTCTCTCAGGCGAAAGGAGTCCAGAGGCCGGCAGTCTAGGCTGGAATCGATGGCCCACCAAGCCATCAGGTGCCAAGCGGAGCTGATTGTTTTTGCTTCCTCGTCCTTAGCGTGTTTCTTCTACATTCAAGGCAGCCTCGTGACTCAGCCAGCGGCTGGAGGTGCAGCCCCATGGGGCCAGGTTTGGGGAGGCGGGAAGGACCAAGGGTGCCCGAAGCCTTCCGCTTCGCTCACTCTCTGACCACCCTCCCTGCCAGAGCGCCCCTTAGGTGGGGCTGCTGCGGTGGGGATCAAGAGCAGGTGGGTTTGGAAAATAAAGGAGGGCAGAATGGCTTCTTACGACAGACAAGCTGTTGCGCATCAGGCCTGGCTGGCTTGTCACACGTTTGTCCCAGACCAGCTTGGAGAACAGACCCTGCAGGCGAAGTAGCCCAGACTCACTGAATCACATGGGGTGGAATACCCAAGTTGCTGAAAGTCTTCCCTCAACTCCCCCTCTGTCCCCCACCCCCCCTTGAGTGTCTCTGCCTGTGGCTGACCCCCCTGGGACAATGTAGCACTGAGACTGAGGCGGAAGGCTCTGGGAGGAAGGGTGGCCTCCGTGGAGAAACAGACCTGGCTCTCACAGCGAAGGTGTTAGATGAAGCTAGAATGGAAGTTTCTGAAAATAGAGCCTCAAGTCCCCTTGAGATTGAGGTGTCTGACACCCAAAAGTTATTTTTTCCCTCTTCACCTGCCAGAACCTGTAAGTGTGATGGGGGTTTAGCTTCCCAGTTCAGGGCTTGTTGTTGAAAGAGGAATGCTCCCCTCAGAGGGCTCCTGCCAGTAGGGCACAGGGGGGCTTTTGCTGCAGGCAGCCCCTGCAGCCCTTGTCTTTAGCCACAGCTGGAATTGCACTGGCAGCTGAAGTCATCCTAAGGACTCTGGCCTCCTTCCCACTGGTAACGGAGTGTGGCCTGGGCCACGGAATGAGCAGGCTCAGCTCCCGCAGCCCCAGGGCAGCCTCCGGCTTGGGGGCAGAGGCAGGTAGGAAAGTCTGCCAGGTGCTGTGGGCACTTCACACACACCAGAGGGCCTTAGCCTGGGAGGGGCAGGCCAGGCTGGAGGTGCCACCTGAAGGTGCTGAGAGTCTGCACCAAAAGCGGCCCCTCCCTCCCCAAAACAGACTAATGGAATCCTTCCCTTTCCTTCTGCATCCAGGTGCCTCCTGGAAGCCCCTGGCCAAAGAGCTGTCAAACTCTAGGTCCTAGTGTCCCCAGGAGCATGTACCCTAAGACAGTCATGAGCAAGCAAGTCTTCTAGGCTTGCAGGGGATTTTAGGGTGCTCCCTGGATTAGCAACTCAACTGAACTTACCACCACCGAGGCGATGCCGACTCACAGCGACCTTACAGGACAGGGTAGAACTGCCCTCGGTGGGTTTCCAACACTGTTCCCCTTTATGGGAGCAGTAAGCCCCATCTTTCTCCCTCGGAGCAGCCGGTGGGGTGGTTTCGAACTGCTGCCCTTGAAGTTAGCCGCCCAACTTGTAACCCCCTCACCACCAGAGCTCCAGCCAGGCTCCCATCCCGAACCCGCTGGATCAGAAATTCTGGGATAGAGCCCCGGCCCTCTGTGCCGCCCGTATACATGATAGTCTGAGAAGAGTTGGACTAAAGGATGACGTAGAAATAAAACTCAAAGACAGGCACA